AAACGCATAATTGATTATCAAGTTTCGATGTGTCATTTAACTTCGTCGTCTATTCATTTCCTCTGATACCAAGTTTCGTACATGTGAAGCTATCGAAACGGTGGCGAGCGCGTCATGAAGGGCCCAATATACTCCGGCGCAACATTGACGCACGTGCTGGCTGGGCGCAGCGACACCACGCTAGCAAAACGTGAGCACTCTATAGTGTGACGCCAGGCACGACCGGCGTGACCAGCGTCCGTTGGCCTAGCCCGGTGGCAACTGGCGTGAAATTCGACATGTTTCATTTCGCGCCGACGACGCTATCTAAACAACACCCACGTCTGGCTCTTTTCGTGACGGATGGACGCTGTGTGCGCTCAAACGCGTATGCGTCAAAACAACGCAGCGCAGCGTGCGCCTGCGAGTACATGGCATGCAGATCCACATTGAAGGCCAGTGGGCAGATCCACTGATCTTTTCTAGGGGGATATTGGCGCTAGAAGTGTCACCACCGGCGCGATGCGATAAAACGAATGCCGGCGCACACGTCCGCCGGCTCACGTCGAAATGTATTGGTGCCGTGAGTGTGGCGTGTAATAATGCTCTTACATGACACGCATCTCATTATTATCATGTTTGCAACAGTCACCTGCCTTCGTCATTCATTCACGTGACGTAACGCTCAATTTTGGCCTATGTGAAGGTAGCGAAACGGCCGCGAGCGCATCATGAGTGTGGTTAGGTAGTGATGTTGGTACATGACACGCATGTCATGATCATCAAATTCTTACGTGTAATTTGCCTATGTCGTCCGTTCACGTCACGTAATACCGAATTTGGTACATGTGAAGCTAGCGCAACGGCTGCGAGTGCATCATGAGCGTAGCATGTAGTCACGTTTTTACATGACATGCATCTCATGATTATCATGTCACCAGTCACATACCTTCGTCATTCATTCACGTCTCGTAATACCAAACTTGGTTAATGAGAAGCTAGTGAAGCGGCCGCGAGCGCATCATCAGCAAGGCATGTAGTCATGTTGTTACATGGCATGCATCTCATGATTATTATGTTTGCAGCAATCACATACCTTCGTCCTTCATTCACGTCCCGTATACCTGAATTTGGTTCATAAGAAGCTAGCGAAATGGCCGCGAACACATCATCAGTGTGGCAGAGTTCGCTTGTCCTTGATGATTGGTTGATTGATATGTGAGGTTTAACGTCCCAAAACCACCATATGATTATGAGAGACGCCGTAGTGGAGGGCTCCAGAAATTTCGACCACCTGGGGTTCTTTAACGTTCACCCAAATCTGAGCACACGGGCCTACAACATTGCCGCCTCCATCGAAAATGCAGCCGCCGCAGCCGGGATTTGAACCCAATCGCTTGTCCTTCTCTTGTCTTTGTTTTCGCCATAAGGCCGTTAAGAATGAGCCACCTCGCCCAACAAGCCACCCTTTGCGCTTGTCCTTCTCTGGTGTTTCTTTGCACCATAAGCTCGTTAAGAATCAGTGTGGCATGTAGTCATGTTGTTACATGACACGAACATCAACATTTTGATTTGATTTGATTGGTTTTTGAAGTTTAACGTCCCAAAACCACCATATGATTATGAGAGACGCCGTAGTGTAGGGCACCGAAAATTTCGACCACCTGGGGTTGTTTAACATACACCAAATTTTGAGTACTCAGGCCTACAACATTTCCGCCTTCATCAGAAATGCAGCTGACCCAGCCGGTATTTGATCCCATGACCTGCGGGTCAGCAGTTCAGTACCTTAGCCACTAGACCACCATGGTGGCGTTGTCATGTTTTTGATGTTAGGGTCTGTCGCTTGTGCTCGCCGTGCGGTCAGTTTACACCATAGCAGTTTTGCAACATATCATGCGAATGAAACCACCGAAAGAGCAGCAATACCATGACGTCTAAATCATGACATTTATGACATACATTCATGATTTTCATGTTTTCACTTGTCAGCTACGTTCGTCATACAGTCTTATATCATACCAAGTCTGGTATCGATACCATTATCCAAACGGCCAGGATAGCTAAACGTCTTAGGCGGCTAGATAAATGGATAGATAGATAGATAGATAGATAGATAGATAGATAGATAGATAGATAGATAGATAGATAGATAGATAGATAGATAGATAGATAAATAGATACGCTTAATGTCGCCGAAATTCACCAAGAAATGTTTCGCTTTTAAAACATCTTCACTGCCAGGGCGTTGGCCAGGGTAAGGGCCACATGCATACAAATTCAGCCGCGGCTTCGCGGCGTAAATTTTTAGCATCGTTTTTGGGTTCATTGTACGCGCACGTTAACCTTTGTTGATTCAAAATTGGGTGCGCTATGTAAAAACGGCGCCAGATTGGGCACGTTCGCCCTCAATCAGCCTCAGCGTTCTACCCCGCGCTGCAGCGGAGGAGCTTAAGCGCAGCCTGTAACAACTAGTCGCGTTCTAGGTATGCATGACCTTGCGAAGTACTGCCAGCACGATTAAGGAGTGAAAGCTCGAACAACGCCAAACGTGTGTTTCGTTGCACCATGTCTAAAATTACGAACCAAGCGGTCTTCTTATTCGTGGGCTGTTTGCCGAAAGGCCTGGCATATAGATACGCGTTCCCACACACAACATATCAGAGGCGTTTGCTTGAGGATTTCTGTGAGCCGCCAGGCATTTTTTTAGATGCGGAGCATCTAATACTCGAGGCTTGTAGTGCGGCGCCGTCTGCAAGCTTCCTCCTCCTTCTTCCACCATCTGTGCATCCCTTCCTCCTCTACACACCGCGCGCGCTTCACTCCTCCACCATCTGTGCACCCTTCCTCCTCTACACACCGCGTGCGCTTCTCCTCTTCACGAAGCTGCTAGCTGTATAATGCTAGCTGTATACAGCTAGCTGTATACAGCTAGCTGTATTCGCTAGCTGCTAACAGCTAGCTGTTAGCTGTTAGCAGCTAACAGCTAACAGCTAGCTCTATACAGCTAGCTGTTATACAGCTAGCTGTATTCGCTAGCTGTATAATGTAGCGCGCATGCGCCGTCACGCTTCGAGAACATCGGCAGCTGACGCGCGCGCATGCGCCGTCGCGCTTCGAGAACATCGGCAGCTGACGCGCGCGCATGCGCCGTTGCGCTTCTTTCCCTTCTCGAACATTCGACAGCTGACGCGCGCATGCACCGTCACCCACCATCTGTGCCGCGCGCGCTTCTCCCCTTCGAGAACATTCTACAATTCTCCTGATTCTCCAGTGGACGCGAATGATTCTCCAGTGGACGCGCAGTGGACGCGCCGTCGCGCTTCGAGAACATTCAACAGCTGACAGTGCATGCGCTGTCGCGCTGTATATATACTCAAGGTCGGCGCTCGCTCGCTCAGTTGCCGTTCGTCGGTTGGTTTGTACGGCGCGTCGACGTCCAAGGTCGCGGTGAAATCAATTCCAACGAATCCACAAACACAATGATCGACGTCCCTTCGACCAGCGCCGCCCTTTCGCATACGTGTGTACGTGTTCACTCATTGAACACCCCCTCCTACAACCACGTTAACCAATTTAGCCTTCGACCCAAGTAAGTCGCAATTTAACACCCCATTTCACAACCACGTTAACCAATTTAGCCATCGACCCAAGTAAGTCGCACTTTAACACCCCATTAACCAATTAAATGCTCCGCATCCTCCTCAGTGTTCCCCCGAGGGAAGCTGCGGGCAATCGTTTTTTCAGAATCGCCCGAATACCGGAACGCGCCGCTTGAGTGTACCTTGTCTGGCATAAAAACCTGGAGTTTAAGTTTGATGTACACATGTCGTGCATAAGGTTCGCTGTTGCTGTCTGCGTCGAATGCCACTTTAGCCGCCATGCGCCCTCGTTGTGGTGTCTTCACGGTCTCGCGAGAACGTGACGTAGTAATCATTGCGTTACGTACGTGGCGTTTGTTACGGGCGTACACGCGCATTTCGAGAATCGATACGATACGTACTGCCCATGCACAGTTGTCTCCCGCAGCATTGTTGCGTATACGTAGGTTCGTACGCCCAAATAATTGTGCCTATTGAAGTAACCCGGCCGTGACGCTATACTCGATGCTACCAAGTGTCACAAACGAGGTCAAAATATCCACAAGGAGCCGATGGAGCTCTACAAGTAACCTATGAGCAATTATAAAACGAAAAGAAGCAAAAACCTAAGCAGCAGCGAAAATAGTCAGTAGGAAAGAACGTCGCCATTAAAAAGTAGAGCGAGAACGCAACACTATACGCAATGCACACCAGATGAAGCAACATGGAACACATAAACACACTAAATATATTTAGAATACCAGCCAACTAAGAAGAATGTATTTCAAGGTAATAAAAAATTGAATGTGCAACATGCACAAAAAAGGTTCGATGAAGATATAGAGGAATTTCAAACGCAGGTAGACAAATACTTCTGTCAAAATACAGAAAAATATATTCATCACGGGCGACGACTTCTATGGGTGGGTTATGTTCATTTTGCATCGTGTGCGACATAAAGAGATTAAAAAGTTGCTTGTTATGCGCATTTAAACATCAGTTATTATATTGTCTATATTGATACGTTCTGAAAACAAAAACAACTCATGCAAGAAATCACAAAGAAAATAACAATAAAAAAATTGACGAGGTGGTGATATTGCGGGTACCCATATATAGTGTATAGTATAATATATTGTAGCATATATGATGCTCTTGTACTTCACGTGTGGTGGTCATCAGACAAGTAAAACGGAAGCCAATCTTTGCTAAACTTCTCAGAAATCGTAGTTCCTCCAAACATTGAAATGAACCGAACTGATCTATGAATTGTGCTACAAGTTTGCTGCCAAACCATAGTACAAAATTTCAGCTGTCATCAAATTGTATTCGCTTATCAGCCAATCCACTCCTACTGCCTTCTCTTAGGAGTAAGACACTGCGTATTTATCACAGCCCATTGTATTGCGATAAGCGTACTCACGTGCATTTAGAGAGAGGCTCACGATAGGAACAGGCGCCTGCATTGCACTCAGCGGACAAGGGCACTAATTCCTGCCAACCGGTTGAAAATGCGAGCTGCATTAATATGTGCACTTTTGGCTGCCGCTTTAATAGTCTCAGACAGTGCTTTGCTCTGTAAGTAAACCACAATTTTTTTATTTCGTCGTGTGTTGAGTAAGCAAAATATATTTTATTTCACTGCATTTTTGTAAATATCCTGGTGGGTTACCGGAGAATGTGTTTGCGGTGAAGTGATGGTGCTATCAGTAGGCATCATACAAGCCACTTGTAAGTGTGCACGTCGCAACGCAAAAATGGACTTTTCATTATTTGTGCAGAATGTTACTAATAAACATTAATGTTCTTAGAAAACGAACATCCCACTTCAGCAATTATTGTGGTATGATTCGTAAAAATTTGAATTTTTTAAAAATTTGTGATCGCATGGTCAAGGTATCATACACACAGATTTTTTCAGTTTGTTACGTGCAAAATAAAATATTGGAAAAATTTTCTGAATAGCCAGTTTTTTTACACCATTTTTGCGTACCTTCTTACGAATAATTGATGTCTGACAACTGCTACGGCTCTTAAGTTTTGTTAGGCGTTTTTTTTATTGAAGCATAATAAATATAGCAACCTTATAAGTGTATATTATTAAATAATTCAGGCACTCTAAATGAACACAAATATCTTTCTAAATAACGATGGTAAATAATTTTCTGATCCATGATCGCCCATTAAATACTGTCATTTATTCATTGCTCACAGCTAAGCGGAGGCACCGACTGCGGCAGAAAGATGACAATGGCTCCAGAAGACTTGTAAGCAATACAATTTTTTGGCAAACACAACACTACGATTGCAGCGTACACCCTTAAAAAAACAGAAATGAACAAAACTTGTAGGTCCAATAAATAGTCTTTTGCGCTGCTATTCTTTTGCTTTATTGTTCGAATTTCCAAAACTATATGGTCTTTTCAAGCTTCCTTTTTATAGTTGGATATGCAGAATAAACAGAGGAAGTGCCTCAGACAGTCTGGATGACGGTTCAACTGTAGGAGTTATCTTTGTCAAAAGCACCTTGTCATTCCTGGCATGTTACATTTAGGAGGAGTAGTGTTCACATATTCTCTTGCAGTGGCACGTGTCCATGCTGGCAGTCGGCGTCTGGACAGAAAAAAGTGTGTGAAGCAGTAAAGTGTATGCCAAGCCTCATTTTAAATAAGGTTGGAAATTGAAATGGCGCTATTTTCTTCTTCGAGGTATGAGGAGCTGTAAAAAGCAACACAAAAAGAAAAAAAAGAAATGAAAGAATAGGAAACAAAGCAGTAGTCTCCAAAGACCTAAAGAAAGGCGAGAACCAAGTATGCTTTCGGTCTTGTCTGTGGCAGCTACGGCTTTGCTACCTGAAGTGTGTTTCATTGGGCTAGTTGTTGAAACATAATAAAAAGTTAAAAACTACAAGAATTAGAAGAGACGAATTAAAAAATAAGAGAACTAGCGTTGACTAACATTTAAACGTTGTATTGCTCCAATGCAATATAAATGAAAGAGGTGCGGGGTAACATGTGTGGGTTCTACCCTTTACTTTCTTTTTTGTACCACTTTCACTATACCTTTTCGCTTTTTGACTTTACAACTTTTTTTTCTAATTTCTGGACGGAAAGTCATTTATGTAAATGAAGAACAAGGGGCCCAGGACGCTACTTTGAAGTGCGCCACATTAGACATCGCTAAAGGGAGTTGAGTGACCATTAACACCTGCGAATTGTTTACGGAATGATACAATTATCCTCTTTATTATGCTGTTCGTAAATAAAAGTTCTGTGAAGCGACCCCAACTAATAAACTTGATGAGCGGAGCCGTCAAATTCTCCCCGATAATTTTACCATAAGCAATGTGTCTGAATATTTTCGTCTATAATCTGTGGTAGTTGGTTAATAAATTCTAGTTGTATTTCCCATGAGAAAAGTTTGCTAAAATGATGCTTGTTATCAATATATTATTTGTTAGTATCGATATGCTGCACAATGTTTTACGTAATTTTGTGTTCAAGGATGTCAATATTATGGCTCTATAACAGCGTTCGTTAGTTTCGTCGCCTGATAAAATAAATTATAGTAATTTTGCCAATTTTTCATTAGGCAGGAGAGAGTGACTCACAAAAAGTATGGAAGACAATAGTCCTTGAAATTATAACATTGTTCTTCAGAATCATCGTATCATTATTATTAATTCAGCGGAATCTTCTTATTTTGACAATTTTTTATACATAGGACAGTATCAGTGACACTAATCTCAGTAGAGTGCATGTACTTGCAGTCAGAAAGTGCTACTAATTTACTAGTGAAACGGTCTTCCCGAGTGAACACTGAAGAGAAAAAGTTATTTAAAATAATGAAAAATTATTCGCAACCTATTGCAGAAACTGTGCAATTTAACAAGAAAGGTAATTGAGAAAATCATCAGGTCATAAAATAGAAGTGATGGCCCTGGCTGATTCGTGTTCTATTCTTGAAGATTTGTGTAGCCCGAAAAAGAACACTGAACAGGTAGCGATGGAGACAAGCACCATCCTTGGTCATCATTGGTCCTTTGCTTTATTTTCCGGTGTTTACCGCTCTTCGTTATGTTCGGTGTTCTCCGCACCTAATTATTTTCGAGCGAATACGATTGATTGCTGACTTAATGCGAAGTAATACTGTCGGTGGCTACGGTTAACAAGCGGAAACTTTTAGGCTACACGTAACATTGTAACGCAAAGCAAATCGCTGCATAAGTATAAAATTTTTGGGCGTATACTCATAGTGCCACAACTTGTACGAAAATTACATAGTTTCCCAGCAGTGAAACACTAACATTTTTGTTTTCACACCGTTCAATAGCGTAAGAAGAATAGGGCCTGCAGAGGGTCGCTGTACGATGAAGATCCGGTTCCAGATGGCACGCTTTGTAAAGTAAGGATTTCTTTGCATTTTGCCGGTACATAAAATTTTCAATTGACACCGAGATTTCACGTTATCTGTTACGTCAAATGAACACTATGTATTCACTCAGTCGAATAGGCAATTTTTAAGCCAGATGAGTAACGCCGTATGCTTCTGATTTAAAAACAATTAACAAGCCACATATATATTGTCGTATGACCATGGTCCTTTTGGTTATTCAAGCATTAGAATTATCAGAAGGCACGACTATAAATTTTCCTACAAAAAAGTAAATAACATTCAACGCGCATTTCAATTTTAATGTTAGTGAAAATTTTGCTTAGAATTAGAGATAGACTTATGTTACTCGAAAAGCTCCTGATTTTAACTTGGGCATATACAGCAATGGGATATATTACAAAGATCCTCAAAATATCGGTGCTAAAGTGACATAAACAGGGAAATATATGTTTATGGCATATAATGTAGTGCACTCGGAAATTATTTACAACAAACAAAGAATCAGAAAACCTTGGAAAATATCTAGCCAGAGATATGGCCTAATTATTACGCGAAACTTCGTGTTTCAGAATATTATGAACTCAAGAATAGGTCACACAGAAGCGTCCAAGAACTCCTACTACACTGCGTTAGCACAGCATGCGTACTTTTGGAAACTTATCTCAAGTTTCCTAAGAGGCATCTCACAGAGCTCGCCGGGTATCATAATGTTTCAATATATATTTGGCATAAGCGGTACATTCATGAGATATTTTAGTGTCAACTAAAAAAGTAAAGATATTTAGAGGGGACACCAAGAAGCACAGTACACAGAGCAAACGCAAAGCAATACTTGACTTTATTTCGGTTGTGTTGAAGATTCTGACCAGGCTAAGATTGTGGAAAGAAGTGCTGATACACTGGAAAAAGAGTTACTGGCAGCTTATCGTATTGAAAACAAAGGCGCAGATGGTATCAGCCGCAATTAAATCTATTAGGTCAGTCTAAAGTGCAGTTTTTTTGTTAATGCTTGATTAGCTACGCAGCAGTGGCACCCATGCGTTTACCGGCAGTACATTATGAGGTATTTTACTGAAACAAAGCAAGCTGGTGTTTAGTGCACTGTGTTCCTTCTTGTCTTTCTAAAATTTTTTACACTTACGACTTTCGTACTTAAAATGTTGCTTCATTAACAAAAATAACTCGCCCAACAGCAAGTTTAACTGAAGTGGCATTTAGGCGAGTTTTCTCACAAGAACGGGCTCCCATCCTCCACAGAATAGCATCATCTCGCACTGGTACTGCATCGTGATAGAAGATGCAATAAAATGCATCGAAATATTTTTTCTGCAGATGCGAAAACACAACGTTTGATTGATCGCTTGTTTTATGGCAGGCGTGGTTCAGAATTTACTTCATATGAATACACTGTCGGTCATATAGTTACACATTCTCTCAAAAAAAATTCACTCCTTTGAATATTTTTATATGTTTATATTAGTTTCAGTTGAGCAGAAACGCACATGTTTTTCAGAAAACAGCTAACTAAACAGATAAAAACCTAACGCTATTATCTATTGCAGATCACAAGAAGAACACCCGGAATGTGCTTGAATGGAAAATGTGTCACGGTCCGCGAATATTTAGCAGCGATATCAATCGGAAGACTCCAAACAACCAAAAATCCTGGTGAATTCGGAAGCACATACCTTGTGACAACGAACGCCCCATTTAGAATTGCTCATATATCTTCTACAGTGTCATCCAGCACTAAGCACGCTTCGAGCACAGGACAGACTAGTTTTACTAAGCAAGAACATTCAATACCTCAAGAAACAAGAAAAACGTATTCAATACACTCACCATATATTACCCACTACAGCTACCCTATGAATGCAGCTGGCAGCACGCACAATTCCTGGCGTACAACTGCATATTTTACGCGGCAGAAATATGCTACCACCGAAACATCCCCCTCAACATATTCAAGGGCAACAAATGTACCATATAAGACCCACGACACGCATAATACAGAGGCACCAGTCAGCGCACACTATTCCAGGCGCACAAGTAGATATGTAACCCCAGTGAAATACCCAACCACTGAAGAATCGCACTCAGCATATTCAAGTACAACAAATGTACCACATCGAACCCACGTCACACAAACTACGGAGGCTCCAGTCAGCACGCAACATTCCGGGCACACAAGTAGTTATGTTACCACGGAGAAATACCAGACCACTGAAGAATCCCACTCAGCATATTCAAGTGCAACAAATATCCCACATCGAACCCACGTCACACACACTACGGAGGCACCAGTCAGCACGCAACATTCCGGGCGCACAAGTAGATATGTTACCACGGAGAAATACCCAACCACTGAAGAATCGCATTCAGCATATTCAAGTACAACAAATGTCCCACATCTAACTCACGTCACACACACTACGGAGGCACCAGTCAGCACGCAACAATCCGGGCGCACAAGTAGATATGTTACCACGGAGAAATACCCAAACACTGAAGAATCGCACTCAGCATATTCAAGTACAAAAAATGTACCACATCAAACCCACGTCACGCACACTACGGAGGCACCAGGGAGCACGGAACATTCCGGGCACACAAGTAAATATGTTACAACGGAGAAATACCCAACCACTGAAGAAACGCACTCAGCATATTCAAGTACAACAAATGTCCCACATCGAACCCACGTCACACACACTACGGAGGGACCAGTCAGCACGCAACATTCCGGGCGCACAAGTAGATATGTTACCACGGAGAAATACCCAACCACAGAAGAATCGCACTCAGAATATTCAAGTACAACAAATGTACCGCATCAAACCCACGTCACACACACTACGGAGGCACCAGTCAGCACGCAACATTCCGGGCGCACAAGTAGATATGTTACCACGGAGAAATACCCAACCACTGAAGAATCGCACTCAGCATATTCAAGTACAACAAATGTCCCACATCGAACTCACGTCACACACACTACGGTGGCACCAGTCAGCACGCAACATTCCGGGCACACAAGTAGTTATGTTACCTCGGAGAAATACCCAACCACTGAAGAATCGCACTCAGCATATTCAAAAACAACAAATGTCCCACATCGAACCCACGTCACAAACACTACGGAGACACCACTCAGCACGCAACATTCCGGGCGCACAAGTAGATATGTTACCACGGAGAAATACCCAACCACTGAAGACTCGCACTCAGCATATTCAAGTACAACAAATGTACCACATCAAACCCACGTCACGCACACTACAGAGGCACCAGTGAGCACGGAACATTCCGGACGCACAAGTAGATATGTTACCACTGAATAATCCCACTCAACATATTCAGCGACAACAAGTGTGTCATACACGACCCTGAACACGTCCACTACTGATGAACCTTGAAGTACGCGTTATATCAAGAGTTCAAGTGTGTATTTAACAGGGCATAAATATCAAACCACTGAAAAATCACAGTTAGAATATTCAAGTATGAGAAGTGTGCCTTATTAACCACGACACGTGCACTATGAAGATTGCGAGAAGCGTATGAGCGGACATTCCATCTGAAACAAATATTCAATTACTAAATAATCGCACTGAGCGTACTCAGGAACAACAAATTTACCCCTGTAAACTCAGGAAACTTTCACTACGAAGATAACTGGTAGCACGTGTTTTGACGTGTTTGCTAGTGGACATATAATCAGTGCTGAACTGCCAATAACTGAAGAACCACAGCTAACATAATCAGGTACAAGCTCTTGCTTCAGCTCGCTCCTGTTATTTTGGGTGTTCTTATCCTTCCTAGGATAATTTAGTTTTATTTTTGCATCAAAATTGTTTGTTTCTGATTAAAATTTTATCATCTTTATTTTTAGCTATGCTTTCATCATTGCTTAAATTATGTCTTGAAAAAGAAATCGTATTGCTCTATTTGACTTTAGAACCTACTTTTCTATATATCAAGTATGTATTGCCTGTAAAAATTATAATAAAACCTATTTTATACTTGAGGTAATGCATGAATCTGGGCTCCCATTTACACAACAGAGGCTTCTGGCAGAGCGTGATGTCTGGGTACATTGGACATGCACTTTTCTGGAGGAGGATTCAAGGATTCACCTGCCAAATAAAGAGTAATACAGTATCATTCAGGGCTAACAAATTTTTTATGCATAACGTAGAGAGAGAGAGAGAGAGAGAAACGAGAAAAAAAAGGCAGGGAGGTTAACCAGATGCTAGTATCCGGTATGCTACCCCACACTGGGGTTGGGGAATAGGGGGTTGAAAGAGAAAGGGAGAGTTAAAAAATAAATAAGAGAAAAACACCGACACACATGCACACACAAAATCAGTCCACTCAAAGGCGTTCCGACAGGCCAGTAGTTCGTAAGTAGCCCAGGAGCGCTTGCACGGCTTTCTTCTGTGACGATGAGTAGAAAGCTTTCAAGACAGAAGGGCCACACAGCATGTGGTACCACAGTATTCAATTACACCTGTCGTTGGGCAGATTTGTACCACAATAAAGCATACTCAAGACACTGACAGACACCCCCAATAATATTCCTGGTGCAGGACATTTACACTGCAGAAGCACCTGGTAGCAATAACTATTGCAGTACAATTAGTCGCTTTTTCAATGGGTTCCTAACCGCTTGAATATCATACTCCACTTATTCCGTAACAGGGAACCTACCATTTGTGACTCGGAATTTTCGTGGAAATGTGCGTGTAAGTGATTCGTAAAAGATGGAAAAGAAGATAAAAGTGAGCCCCGTAACTGTCTGCATCATAGTGCGACACCTCAACAGTAGCTCACAAGAGAGGGGGTATAAGAAGGGAATAAAAGGGATAGGGAGAAATAAAGGAGACAGGGATAGAGATAGGAGCTGGGGCAGAGATGCCCACATACAGAAATAAGGAAAAGATAGGAAATATGGAAACGGTCGCAGAAGTCCGAGGACGGGGCACCACTCAGCGAGAGCTTTTGTCAGCGTCAGGAGATGACGTAGGGCGATACAGTGGGCCAGAGCAGCGCTGACGTTGGAGATCACGGCGGTGCAACCCGTCGGCACGAAATCCAGCGAGCGAGTCCTTCCTGCAAATGCACCTGCTAGCATGACCTATTTAGATGCAAGTGTCTATAGGGCCAGGCAGAGATATCCTGGAAATAGAACAGAACACAAACATACCTAATTAGAAAATTATACCACTCAGGAACCAGGACATTTTTACTGCTGATGCACTAGGCACAGTGCGATATTCTGGTAGTATAAAGGCCCATAACACCGGACAGCAATGATGCCACTAATAAATTACACTCAACATTCTGAGGCACAGAATATTTGGCATTCAGCACATTAGGCATTTTCGCTACAAAGGCATTGTGTAGCTCACGCTGTCCAGTTTCCATTCATTTCGCCGAGCAGCAATATCGAATAAATTGCGAATCATATACAACGCACTAAACGTTAATAAATGTAACATTGATGACACAGGACATTTGACCTAAGGAAACACCAGGCACCACGCGCTGCCCCTTTACTACAAACGCCCACTTCTCTGGACAGAATCAAACCACTATAATATCATTCATGACATACTCATGAATAACAATTGTATTATTCAGGACCGGTGATGTTTTTCTTTCACAGTCACCCAGCATGTTGGGGTATGCAGACAGCACGAAGGGGTATTTCACGAAGCAGAAACATCTAACTAGCCAAGAAGTTGCTCCATACCAACAAAATGACCATTTAGCACCGATATTTTCTATACACAGACGAGTAGCAGCGAGCTGTATCTGGTCACAACCACATAAAAAACTGCTCCATATAGTATGAAATGTCAGCTGAGCGGAAAGCAGCACAGCTCACTACGTTTCCACAGTGCCAAAAGATTTGAAATAGATACTTGGAATAGGCGCATCAAATTTTAGGACCATTATCTGCTTACTTATGAGATGTAAAAAAATGGGTGTTCAGACAAGTAAACAAACATTCAAATAAGGAAACAAACGACAGCCCTAGGGGTGACCCTGCATCTTCTTCCGCCTTTACTGCAGCCATTAGTGACGACTTGACACCTTCACAGACGCAACAGCTACTTGCTTTGTTAAAGAAACATGCAAGTCTTTCGATGTTTACTCCTCGACGTTGGGCCGCACTACATCTATAACGCATCTAATCCACACAGTCGGAACATCTATTGTACGCCACTGGCCTTACCGCGTGTCTTCTGCTGAGAAAAAATTCATCGAAGAATACGAAGCTGACATGCTCAAACGAGAGGTAATTCGCCCTTCATCTAGCCCTTGGTTATCGCCTGTGTTTCTGGTTCACAAGAAGGATGGCTCCCTGCGCTTTTGCGTCGATTATAGGGCGCTCAACAAGATGATTTGCAAGAATCTGTACCCAATGCCTCGCATTGACGACGCCCTTGATTCTCTGCAAGGCGCGAAATACTTTTCCAGCCTCGACCTGCGTTCCGGATACTAGCAAATTCCCATTCACGAA